GATCTGCACATCATGCGTTATCTATCCGAAACGGCTTTTCTCGATGAGTCACCGGCCACTCCGGCGGACATTCACGAGATCCTTAAGTCCCTGGGTAGTCAGTTTGACTCGAAATTAACATCAGCGGAGCGAATGCTGTGCGCACGTTTCACCAAAGGCCGTACCCTGTATGAGGAATACGCGCGCAATCCCGAACGTTCAATGCATATGTCGGAGAGCGAGATCGAAGAGTACATTCTGGCAGAGAAAGAGGTATCGGAGTGCGTTAAAAAAATGGTGACGCTTATGTTCAAAGTAAGAGCACCAGATATTTTGCTTCTAACCACAGCGTCACTCATCAACACCACGAGCACGGGCGGGATTTTCAAGACCCACATAGGGGACCGCAAAGTGATAATCATTGATGAGGCCTCCCAAGTCCCCGAACCAATTTTCGCGTGCATCACCACTCTGTTCCCAGACGCCTCCCAGCTCTACGTCGGCGATGTCAATCAGCTGCAGCCGCATACTAAGTGCCCTCCCGATGCCAATCCAGCGTTGTTTGGGGCTCGAAGTATCACAGACGTCCTGGCTCAGTCCCCCCTCCTACCGAGAGCTACTCTGATCACTACGTTCAGGGCCCACCCCGCTCTGAACGCGCTACCTAATATCCTGTCGTATAATGGCACCTTGGTCAGCGGAGCTCGAGCCGAGGACCGTCGTCTCCTATTAGATCGGATCCACTTCCCTAATCCAAATGTACCCTTCGCCCTCGTGAACGTGAGGGGCTACTCCGTCAGAGCACCTACACGCTCACATTCAAACGAGTACGAAGCCCAAGCGTGCAGCTCTTTAATCGACTACCTCTTAGACGTAGCCAAACTGGATCCGCAGCAAATTTGTGTTATAACTTTCTATCGCGAGCAATACCGACTGCTACAAGATTTCGCTGCTTCCCGCCATATTGAAATCGCCACTGTAGACTCCATCCAAGGGCGTGAAATGGACGTAGTAATACTTCTAACAACACGCACTGGAATGGAGGGAACAGCGTCGACTTTTGTCGACAACCGCCTTCGGCTGAACGTAGCCATCACGAGATGCCGCCACGGGCAGTTTATTCTAGGTCAGGTGGCGTCGCTCCGATCTCTTCCCCACTGGGGCACGGTCGTCCGATGGGCCGAGAGTATTAATGCAGTAGTGCAGTCTACACAGTTGGAGCGCTTATTCCCGAGTTGCTAGGTTTTTAAGCATTTTCAGTTTCCTCGACCGAATTATCACTTTTCCTCCTATTTTTTTCACTCAGGTAACACTTTTTTTTTCTT